AGGGAGGGAGGGATGGAGATAGATCGATACATACATACATATATGGATATAGATATATAGACATACAGACAGACAGGTAGATAGATTAAATAGATAGAGATGTGAGAGAGAGAGAGAGAGAGGGAGGAAGGGAGGGAGGGATGGAGATAGATCGATACATACATACATATATGGATATAGATATATAGACATACAGACAGACAGGTAGATAGATTAAATAGATAGAGATGTAGGTAGGCAGACAGGCAGGTAGACAGACAGACAGACAACACATCTGTTCTCATCACAGTGAAAATAACTATGGCTCAGACATCGGGTGCCAACCTCCAGAGCTTCGTGAACAGTATCTATCCTCTCGGGCAGGGCCTCTGTGCTCCTCACGCGCTCCTCCAAAGTGTTCAACCAAGTGGTTTCCAGATCCAAATAGTGAAGCAGCTCCACCCAACAAGACCAGACCTCCTAAAGAACGAGAAGGGAACATTAAAACTGAATGAGAAGCCATGCCATATGTCATCCCTTCGATCAATAATAACTCCATTCCAGTGTGAGTAATACGCAGCGGCTCAGAAACCGATGAAGCTGGAGCAGCAAATAAATGAAACAAAACTAAATCTGTCAATAAACTGGAGCAATTAAGGTGGAGGGGAAGGGGGATGGGAACGAGGCTGTCTCAGTTTCCATTCAAATAAATTCCGAGGACCTAGTTACATGTCAAAAAACAAACCTCTATAATTAATAGGGGTGAAAATCATAAGGCTATTGCTTTACTTTAAAGATAAGGGAAGAGCTGGAGACTAGCTCAATGGTCACAGTGCTTTCCTGACAGTCAAAGACCCTGGGTTCAATCCCCAGTACCTGCTACCACCCAATGAATAAATGGATAGATACATACATACATATATACATACATACATGAATGAAAATTTAAGACAAAGGATAAAGATCATTCATGATTTTTTTTAATAGAAACTCAAGTCTTTTGGGACATACTCAATTCCAATTCCAAGATAACTGATGGGTGTAGATATCTCTGTAGGCTCGGTACTTCTTTCCAAGTAAATAAGGATACACCCGTGTAAGAAGAGGGCCCCATTTTGCCAAAACACGAGGCAGGCAGTTCTGTGCCCTCACTACTGAGAGTTCTGAGGCAGGAGGAGAAGACGGGAAAGCGTGCATGAAGGACCTCCTCTCCCCTTACTCCATAAAAGAGAAACTTACCTGACCTAAGATTAGAACTTGACACAGAATTCTCTTTTTTTATTAACTTTCATTTATTTATTCTTTGTGTCTTTCACATCATGCTTCTGGATCCCACCCATCCACCCTCCCCCCACCCTGCAAAAAAAAAATAAATTTTAGAGAGAAAAAAAAGAAAGAAAAAAATTTCATCATGGAAGCTATACAGTGAGTCACACAATAAACCTCTTTATCCATAGATTTTTACATGGAGGCATTCATAGCAAAGAAATGGTTCAAGGCCCCTGGTTTCTGCTGCACCATCAAAGCTGGGCCCTCACTGGGACGCTTTCTGGACATCTTGTTGCTGCCCTGCTTCATGGGGACCCTGCAGCTCTGGGCCTACAGCATCAATCCCCCATCCCCACCTCCATGCTCCAGTAGAGCAGATAGAATGGTTGTTGGGATGGACCAACACATAACCCTGGGCCTGGGCCTGAGCCTGAGCCTGGGCCTGGGTAATTGCAGGGTTGGTCAGCCCACGAGCTTTTCCCTGTCTCTGCCACCAGGGTGAGCTCTCCAGCATTACCTGGCTAGTTCACCCCTCATCAGCACAGAATTCTAATCTGCCCTCTTTAGAGCTACTGACACAGTCCCATCCACACCCCATACAGGCTCTGTTTGGCGGAACAGGGCTCAGCAAGTATTTCTATAGAGAAGCAGAGAAAAGGTGTTTCGGATTTTAGGGGTTGACACCCAGGGTCTGTCACAGACTCATCTTTGGTGTGGGTAGATAGGTGTTTTTATGCTGTTTTCAACCCTTGAGAAATACCACTCTCAACCAAACAAAAAGATACACAGTTCAGACATGAGGCCTCTGCCATATTTGCTGACTTTTGCTTCCAAAAGAAAAAAGAAGTTTTTAGTTGCCCCCATATTCCTCAGCAGAAAGCAGACCGAAGAATCTGCTCAGGTCTACAGGAAGGAAAGGGTGATAGAGAAGCAGTCCCAGGATGCAGGCTCATCCCTAATCAAGTACCGTTCTTCCTAATTGCTCTCAATTTCCATATTTATCTAAACACAAAGATGAGAGCTGGGCATGGAACTGTACACCTGCAATCCCAGCCCCTGCGAGGCAGAACTAGAAATAACCACTGCCAATATAAGGTCGGCCTGATCAACACAGTGAATTCCGGGCCTGCCAGGGCTACCTGGGAAGACCCTGCCTCAAAAACAATCACTCAGTCACATAGGTGACAGGTACCAACTAAGGAATGAGTAAAGTTAGTTAAAATTCTTCCACTGCCATTATCATGCCTGCAGAAATGACCACAACACAATCACTAGTCTCAGGGTATGTTTCATTTACACTGTAGGAACTTGAAATGTTTCTTAAATCTTTCAACCAGATTTTTTTTTTGAAAAGTCATTAAAATGAGAGATCACTTCATTAAAATATTCCAACAGAACAATCTATATCTTCCATCTAATGGGGGAAGATATTTACCAAAAATACAAAGAAAAATTAACATATTTAAGTTATTTTTCCCTCCAGTAAACTTTAGACACTACTCAAAATAAAAATTTGAATTCCCATTTGTGTAGTTAACCTGGTTTAAAAAAAAAAACCACACACAGGCTAGATTCTTATAAAATGGGGATTTTGAGGATTAAAATGGACTCTTTGGCCCCTTCATAACATGAGAACACTTGTGAATACATAAAAATATCAAAATCTGAAGGGGACAAACTATTGCTAACAAATTTTCTAAGAAAGAAACAGAGCCAGACCTTGTTATCCTTTTAAAAAAAATTTTTTTTCTTCTTTTTTAATCTACCTCATTCATAAAAATTACTTGGATAATTCAATGTTCGACAAAATAATGGAGTTTTCTTTTTTTTATAATATAAGGAAATTCGCATTGGATGGGAAGGAAGGAATCTCATACCTCTAGTGTGTGGCACTTTCCACGAATTCTATTACAAAGAAGTTGGTAGCTCTCCAGCACCATGTTGAACTCCGATGTCAACTCCTGGCCACCAGAGGGCACCTTGGTGGCCAGCAGCTGGATGCTGTCCTTCAGAATCTTCACCCTCACCTCCTTCTGCAGCACGTCCTCTTTCGCTCTCTGTTCCCAGAAAAAGGCAACTTGAAACATGGCTCTCTTTTTAAAAAATAATAATTGATGCAAAATTAAAACACCAAAATTCTTCTATCGGCCTGAGCAGAACGTTATTTAGCAAATGATATAGCCTGAGTTTCTCTGAAGGAAGGATGCTAAATATAAAATCTCACTCCTCTAGGTTCCAATGTGCATGTCCCGTTCCCACACATTTTCATTTGGTAGCACCCGAGTTCACAGGCAAGCTATCTTCAACAGGGTTTACTGACAAGAAAGAGTTTCAAATTCTGGGTGCAGAGTAAGTCTCTAAATGAACTCATTGTAACTGACCACTGGAGGTCTGAACACATTAAACTAAAATAAACAAACACCCTCAAAAACGGCAGGATATTGTGGCACAGGCATCCTTTAAAAATGTTCCACAAATCCTTGTTTTTTTTAAAAAAAAAAACTACTTTATCCTCCTAGAACATAGGTATATCCATCCTTCTGATCATGAACAGCACATCAAAGATGATGAAGTTCCACTGGCTAACCTGATCCAGAAATAGCTGCCTCCTGGCTTTCTCTCTGTGCTCAAGGTGCTTGATCTCATATGCAAGAAAATCCACCTGCAGCAGCAGCCTTCTGCGGTCCCTCTTAGCTGGCTTTACTGCTTAATGGATTCCAGCTTCCCCGGGGTGAGGGGAACGTAATTAGGTGCAGTCGCTTTTAAATTCCTAATGGCTGTTTTGAAGAATAAAAATAAACAGAGTGCTGCCCAATCAAAGATTTTAATCTCATCTTTCCCAGCTCTTAACTGTAATGACTTTTAAGAACAGCACCAAACTACAATTCCAACCATGTGAGAGATAAACGCGGTAGTTATGCTTTATATAGTAGACTACCTTTAAAATATTGCCTATACTAAAAATATAAAAATATATCAAAAAGAGCTACATTTAAAAAAAATAGTGCAGTGCCTTACACAGCTTAAGTAAGTCTCTTTTTATGTGTACTGACTCACAGAAAACAGGCATGAGTGTCACATAAAACCTCTTTTTAAGAATTATCTGCATAGAAAACGTTGCCCTAGACAGACTTTCGGGTGAGTTAGCTGTGGGGTAATATACAATGTTACTTGACATTTTGGAAAAAGAAGGGTGAGTCTTGTTGGAAGAATATGGAGGCAATGTGGGACTGAGGCCCGGTTCTTTCATTATATAAGACAACTACTGCCACAGGAACAGAAGTTTCTGGAACCACAGCCTGACTTCAACTTATCCTCACCTTATCTTCTTTGTATACCCCTGCCTCTTACTCTAAAGACACTCTGAGGTTCCAGTGTGGCCCCGAAACTGACTCTATAACCCCAGCTTCCTGCTCTAAAAATGTTTTGGGGTTCCCTGTGCCCTCAATATTGACTCTATAGCCCTGCCTCCTGCTCAGAGGGCATTCTGGGGTTCTTGTGAATCCCCAGTACTGACTGAAATCAAATGCAGTAGAACCAAGAGGACCTCCAGCTAAGTTGTGAAGAAGTCTCTTTTGCTCCTTACCAAAAATTGTGCTTCCAGGAAACAGTGATAGAAGCTGTATGCCCCTGTGACCATAATTAACATCCCTAAATATACACTGAGAAAATACTAAAATGGTAAATTTATATTCTAGGGTTTACTATGATAAAAAAGAAAAATTACAGTTTCTCTGCACAGCCCTTCTTGGACAGTCTGAAGACCTGTGTGGCTCCCTAAGGCTATACCCTGCATGCCTGTCCCCAGGGACCGCATGGCATCAACTCTGGGATGGATTTGAACCAGTGGATTGGCATCAGCCTCCTTTCCCAACTGGAATCACCACACCTGCTCTCCTGCTCATCTCATTCTTCTGAACTGAAAATCCTACTGTGAGCAGACTGGTCTATGTGGTTGTGTGTCTGTGTGGTTCTGTGTGCTACCATGGGCAGGCTGATTAGCATAAAAAGGCACTGGACGGGGTAGAGGGCCTCACCTTCATTTCCTCCACAGCACTCTCCAGTTCTTCCGGGGATTTGTACTCAAAGTCCCTCTCCAGGTACTCCTCCTCAGCCTGAGCCATCCACTCCTGCATCTCGGCCAAGTCCTTTTTCAAGTTCGTGGTTTTTTCCTGACTATCAGACAACTTACTTTTTTGAATAGCAATCTAGAAAGGAAAAGCCATTGTGCTCAGTAAATAGATTTTTAACACACTAACTGCCAAGTTCTACCCTTTAATATTTAAAGACGCTGCAATAAATTTCCAGTTTTATGTTTTAATATTCAAGTAAAACTTCTTAGACATCCTGTGCTGATGCTATGGAATGTAAGAAATTATGAAAATACAATAAATTCTAGACAGCATTTTTGACGTGAACTGAGCCTGAAAATAAATATCTTCTGGAACTCTGAAAACAGGGCTCACAGCTGGTGTTTGTTCTTCCCGGTACCCTGCTCAGCACCTTCCAGCCCAGGGAAAGCTAGGCAGCAGGGAGGTGGCTTCTGCTTCCATTCCTGCTTGATTTATGACCCTTTAATTCCATGTAGGAAATTAACCTGTAGCAATAAAGGCATACACACCCGCTGATTTTATTGCAACAGTGTTTATTATCTAAAAAAAGAAAAACAGGAAGCAGAATTCCCACTGTGTCTTCACATCTTAAAACAAGGGTGGAGCTGAGCATGGTTGCATATTCCATTAATCCCAGCACTTGTGAGGCAGAAGCAGGTGCATTTCTGTGGATCAGGGGCCAGCCTTGTCTACAGAAAGAAGCCTGCTCTCAAACATAAAGAGAAAATTGGGAGTGAGGAGAACTATTATAAAAGGTGTCCATAGGATATTATCCTACAAAATGCTGGTTAGGAAGAAAAAGACACAGGCTGGAGAGATGGCTGAGCAGTTAAGAACACTGGCTGCTCTTCTAGAGGATGTGGGTTCAATTCCCCGCACCCACATGGCAGCTCACAACTGTCTGTAACTTTAACTTTAGTTCCAGGGAATCTGACATTCTACACACAACACACACGTCAGACAAAGTACTAAGGCACCTAGAATAAATTTGAAGAAAGTAGAAGATATGTTTGAAAATAGCTATTTAGCTGAATCTGGCCCAGTAACTTTGTGAGTTTTCTCAAAGAAGTCTGGGAATATTCTCAAAGTCCCCCCCCCTCCCACTAACCACAAACTGACTCAGCTGGAAGAGCTGATCCCATAGCACAGGAATAGTACAACCTCTCCCTGACACGTCCAACCGCCTGCTCAAATTACATGTCACTGTGGAGGCCACCTCACCAGGGCTGCGTGATAGTAACCAGAAGCCAGGACAGGAACAAGAGTGTGGGTTAAGGAACAGTTAGTGGCTTTCCTGTTCCCTCCCTCCAAACAGGCGCATAGGTCTGAAAATAGACAGGCGACTTTCGTGCAGGGCCCAAGTCCCCACCGTGCTGTTGCTCTATCAAGAAGCCAGGCAGCGCTGCTCCCACAATGGATGGTCAGCTCTCTCATTTATGCAGTTCTTACTAAAACTACAGACCTATAGTGTGTGTGTGTGTGTGTGTGTGTGTGTGTGTGTGTGTAATATAACCACATAAATGGAGAAGACTTTGGGCCCACTTCCAGAAGGTTTTTTGTATTCTCTGAACAGCAGTCAGTTCTAACATTTGAATAGGACCATAGAAACATTGAAAATAAACCCACAAAATCATACCTATACACTCTGTGGTTTAGCATAGTAATAACTTCTTTCATGATAACATAGGTGCGACACATTCCTGTGTATTTTTTGGGGGGGGTGGCATGCCTTTTTTTTTAGACTTATTTCTTTTTATTTTGTATGAAGGCGTGTTTTGCCTGGAGGTACACTTGTGTGGCCTGTGTGTCCCCACAGAAACCAGAAGAAGGCATCAAGAGCCTCTGGAACTGGAACTACAGACTGTTACTAGCTATTGTGCCGGTGCTGGTAATGGAACCAGGGTCCTCTGCCAGAGCTGGAAGTGCTTTTAACTGCTGAACTATTTCTCCAGCCCCAGACATACCTGTTTTTGCTAACTACAATAAAAACTTCTTCAATACATTTAACATTTTTACTAGTGACTGATATAGATTGTCTAGAACTGATCTAACTAAGCCACTATTCGTACAACATGTAGCTACTTCTTGCTTGAAGACTCCTAAATTTTCTGTCCATGTTTCACAGCAAATAGAATGCACAGCAGATTTCTGTAATGAATGAGTGAGCAAACGGGTGAGGATGAATGGGGAGAGATGATGGGTGGGTGGATATATATGACAGATAATAGATAATGACGACAGATGACGGATGGATGGAGATGCTGAAGGATGAAGGGTAGATGGATGAACGGATGGATACAGGGAGATAGGGGATAAATAGACGGATGGAAGCCAGAGCTGCTTGTTCCTCAATGTCACTTAAGAACCACATCCTCTGTTTACTTAGACAAAACCCCAGCCATTTACAGATTATGAAGCAGACACAGAAATACAGATTTGGCTGGTGTATTCAATAATTTTATAAAGAGACTACTTTCTTAAGTTTGGTAATGGCATTTTGACTTTGTAATAATAGACTGTACTATAACATAGGATAATTTCAACTTCTTATCTAAAGCACATTTTCACAGATGAAGAGAAAATTGACAGACATTAGAATCAGCCCATGGGTGATTCCTTACTTCAATTTTTCTCCACATTTAAACATGTTCAGAATGAAAAAGTTGGACCAAAACAAAAACAAAACATCAAGTGATGTCACCATAAGATTTACCAATAGAAACGGTAGTCCAAAAGCATTATATCAAGAAAAATGAAATAGTCCCGGCATGCTCTGAGGAACATGATTGAATTTCTCATTTTCTCCTCTTTTTTTCACGACTGTCATTCACTCAGCTACATCTACACCACCATTAGTTCTAAGGTGTCCAAGAAGGCAGAGACAAGTTGCTGGGTGGGCCTTCACAACACTGACAAGCTCTCCTTACACGGGGCAGTAAGCAGAGGTCTCCAAGACATCCCTTGGAAGTGGTCCTCAGTCCCTACTCCTGTAAGCAGGCCTCACTTCCCAACTTACTCAAATTGTTTGCATCACATATTCTAAGGGAAGTTGTTCTCTTCGGCATAAAGCACCCTGTACTATTTCTCACTATTAAGTGATTAAAAATAAAACAAAACTATCCACCTTCCCCAACTCCAGGTCCCACCCTATGTTTTTGGCTCTATTTCCCGAAGAAGTGATTGCTCAGAATTGGTCATATTCAACCCCTTCCTTACTTCCCATTCCCTCCTCCACTGTCCAGTAACATTTTGTCCCCACCACTCCTGGAAATGTACTTTTCTCAGGTAACTTAGTCAAAGTTAAAACTTGATTTTCAACTGGGCTAACCTGGCCCAAGGCATCACACACCCCTGGTTTTACTAACTTCTGTTACTCACTTTCTTCTGGTTCCCATGCCCCAAGAGGACTAAAAAAATAAAAAGCTAAAATTTTACAAAGAGAAAAAGAATTGCCATTGGCATGTGTGGAATTACCTCGGCCTTGATCCTTCCAAAACGGGACTGACTCATCACTTTACCTGCCCCCAGAAGTGTCACCTCCTCAGTTCTTACATTCAAATAGAGAGTACCACAACCCAATGTTGACCCTTTGCCAATCTCCTGAGCTACCCTTGACCACTGCTTTTCCATCATGCCTCGTCCTCTACCCAAGCCCTGTCTGTTTCCAAGACAGGCCTCACATGGCATGCCTCATGACCTCAAGGGAACCTCTCCTTTTGAGTCTGCAATGACTTAAGTGTTGTCCCTGCTTCCCTACTTAGCTTTCTAAAGCAAACCATCTACCTGAAAGTGGAAGGGACCTTAAAAAGTCTGCCACATGTCATGTCCCTGCTCAACACTCTCAAACGTGGGCCAGGGAGATAGCTCAGAGGTAAAGGCACTTGCAGCCATGCCTGGTGAACTAAGCTCAATCACCTAGACCCACACACAACGGCAGAAGAGAACTGGTACGCACCGGTTATTCTTAACTTCTACATGCATCCACGGCATATGCACCCACACATTCATACCCACGTTAATAACAAAGTTAGTAAACGTCAGAAAAGCCTCTCAAACTAGCTGACATCCCTCGTAAAATGAAATCCAACATGCTTGCACCATTGAGTGCCTTTCGCCACCTTCCGACCGTGGCTATTCCTACTTCCCATGTCACTAACTGCATTCATTCACAAGCTGCAGGGCCTTGGGTCCTCAATAAACACACCACACACACACACCACAGCTGAGCTTTAGGACTGGAAACTCCCCCTACTACATGTTCTGGCCAACCTATTCGAAACAATAGCCACCTTCTCCTACCCCTTGGTTGCCCTCTCCAATAGTTCACCTGCCTCTCAGGAATGCAACCTTCTCAAGAGGAAGGAAAGGCCTGGTCATTGCTGTGTCCCCAGGCACCCAAAGTGGCCTGGCCACAGTCGCTAATTAACAAAATACTAAACTGCAGCTGATGAATGAATATCGGCTGCCTAAAAGATTAATAGCTATAATTCGTAGATGCCACACTAAAACGTCCTCAAGGCAAGACAAGGATCATAAATGAATGTGTGGAGCTGTGTTTAAATAAGAAGGAAAAGTAAAAGTCCTGAATCCCACTAAGCAAGCAATATTCTTCTTTAACTTTAATATATATATGTGTGTGTGTATGTGTGTGTATACGTACACATATGTACATACATATATACCTACAATACATATGCATACACGTTATATATGTATATAAATAATGCATATGTGTGTATGTGTACACAGATATATAAACTTGTGTGTGTATATACATGCATATGCGCTCACACACACTTTATGTGTGTTTTATGTTTTCCTGTAAATGTCCTAGACCACTACCTTTAATTCTACTTTTCCTGGTCAAGAGAAGCCAGCTACAGTGAAGGTGAAAAGCTCACCTCTTTGCTGAATTTCTCCAGCTGAGCATGGTAGTCCGCTACTCGTCCATGGATCCAAGTCTTCACTCCGGTGACTGGACAACTTTGAAGATCAGTCTCTACTTCTCTCATGTTTTTGAGAGATGATTCGATCGTTTCAATTTCATTTGCAAATGTCTAAATATAGGAAACAAGCCCGTGTTGAGTCTACTCGCATGTAAGTAAGTGGATATCAGATTCACATCTATCTGCCTGCATCCTGAAGCTACTTCAAGGTCTTACTGCTTGGCAGTCAGAAGACTCAGCCACTTAAAAGATACCTCCCTTCAGAAATTTAAGACAGCCATTTGCTAAAAAAGATAGATTAGAAATACTTGAATTTCATTGGGAAACACTACTCTTAATTAATTTGGAGCAGTGGTTCTCAGCCTGCGGGTTGCTATCCCTTTGGGGGTCACATATCGGCTATCCTGCATAGCAGGTTATTTGCATTACAGATTTAGAACAGTAGCAAACTTAGCCCAGCTAGGAAGTAGCAATGAAATAATTTTATGGCCAGGGATCACCATGACAAGAAGAGCTGGATTAAAAGGGTGGCAGAATTGGGAAGGCTGAGAACCACGGGTTTAAAAACACCTGATGACCTCATCAAGCATAAACCGCATATAATACGACTAGCAGATTTCATTTAAGGCTCGTCAGGTGGCAGAAAGACAGCAGCACACTCGTGGTAATCTTTACATTAAGATCATCGCTGTAACAGAAGGGCAGCTCCCGAGGAAATAAATTGGCTTTTGTTCTCGTCACCAGTTCTATAACCACGGCCGGGCATAAAATGTCAGCTATCTGTCTGTCTTTTATTGGCTATAAAGCCAAAATAAAAGCTTTATGATAAAGGACACTTTATCTAGACTTCATATGCACCATTCTTACAAGTTTAATAACTCCAAACGACAATGAAGAAGAAGATAACGTTATTTATTTGAATAGGAGTGCCAGACCAGCAGAACTCACAGCACACTGGTCAAGCTGCCGCTGTAGACCAGCCGCGTCTCCTTGAGCAGCCTGCTCTTTCCTTAGGAACTCCTTCACATCACCCGTCCACTTCTCAATGACCTCTGAGTCAGCCTGAATCGAACACAATAACAGAGGGGGATATTACTCAGTGGCATTCAACCCACTGCATCTCAGGATCTACTGCCATCAGGGAAAAAAAATGCAACTTCTCAAAACTTCGATAGCATCATTTTCATTCATTTCATTTCCTTTTTGAAGTCTCCCAACTTGAAAAATAAATCTTTAAAATAACAGCTTAGTAATAATTCCAAAAGCCTCAAAACACTCTGGGGTGAACTATTTCTGTTTAAAGGCAAGGGTTATTTAGGACTAAGATTCAAATTACAAGAAAAAAAATAGTATTCTAGTTATAATCAACTGAAAAGAAATCTTTTGTTTTCACCTAACCTCAAGCAATTGTTCTCTAAGGCTAGCTATTGAAGTAGTATATACACAGCCTCATAAAGGAAATATAATCCCCGACTTTTCATTCTTCTGTGAGATGACTCCTTCCTTGAAAACAGAACTAGTCACTGCCTACTTCAAATTTTTCAACAGTTCAAAGTTACTAAGAACAAAGAGAAGGTCAACATTTCCTGGAAAAAGCAGACTTCAGAGAGGACACAGCATAGCTGTGGCTGTATCTAAGACAATGTTAGGCCCACTTGAACTTCAACAGTGTAGAGGTCCATTTTCCCCCAAGGCCTCCCTTTCCGTCAGTGATTAGCCTTGTAAATTTCTCTGGAATGTCTCCTTGATCTCTCTTCAGTTCTTTCTTGTTTACTCCTAGAAATAAAATCAACTTGAATGATGAAATTCAAAAGTGGCTACCATGTATCTCCCTGTATGATTATACAGTCCTTCTTTAGTGATCTTTCTAGGGCAGTATAACCAGGAAATGCACAAACCATTCTGATCCACAGACTCTGGAAACAATAAAAATCACCTAATATTCCTATAATACTCCAAAACCATTATTATTCTTATGAAGTTGGAATGAGTCATAAAGATGAAACTGACCATCCAGCTGCTAAACTTATAAGACACCGCCTAAAATGGGTTTGGATTTTTCCCAATGTGCCTTTGTTCCATGCTTCTTTTGTGTTAAACTTGTTTGTTCTTAGATACATCAGCCATAAGATTAAGATTCACCAAAACCCCAATATTCTCAGTAATTACCTCAAAATAACCTTCCCCTCTCAAATATTGCTTAATTGATTGTTAATTTAACTATAGGACTTGATCACCATAAATATTAAATTTTTTCTTTATTATGTTCACAATATCAGTTAAAAAATAGACCAACAAAAATCGAACAGAATAATTCAAAGTTTAGGTTTTCCAGTCTCCTACCTGCTGCTGTTCCTGACTTTCTCCTACTTGGAAATCTGACCGAGAAATATAATTTTCCATTGGGCACCTGGTTTTGACTTGGTTGGTTAGTTGGTTGGTTTAAATTGGGCTTCTTGTTGTGTTTTAGGACTTTGCCAATTAAAATTTATAAACTAGTGACACTGTTTTCCTGAAAATGTCATAATGACACCCATTGTGTATAATCAAAAGATCCTAATAAAAGTAAAAGTGGGGCTGGAGAGATGGCAGATAAGAAACAAGGCTCTGTTCTCAGCATCCCCATGCCCCAAGGGCACTCAGCTTAGTCACAAAGAACAGGAAAGAGATCCAAGAACAATACAGTTTCTCTCTCTACTTAAAACTCACACAGCTAAAGTACTTATGTTTCTAATCTCCAGTAGTGAATAAGGGTCTCTTGGCCTCTGTCCATGAACAAACACATGAATACACACACACACACACACACACACACGTGCACGCAGTTCTTTGGGGAACTTTCCTTCTTACAAATGAATTTAAGTTCCTCTTAGAGTTTGGGAGACGACTCAGTTCATAAAGTGCTTGCCTGTTAAGGATGTGGACCTGGATCTGAACAGCAGAGGTCACTTAAAAAGCAAAGGATGATGAGAAGTACTTGTTTTCCAAATGCTGGGGAAACAGGTGGATTCCTGAGACCTGCTGGCCAGCTAGAACCACTTCATCTGGGAGCCCAGGGTCGCAGGGGGAGACCATGTTTCAAAAATAGTCCATAGACAATCACCTGGCCTCTGGTCTCCACACACAGTCTGATGAGCACACACACACTCTCTCTGTCTGTCTTTCTGTTTTTCTCTCTGTGTGTCTCTCTTTCACAGAGACACACACATACATATGACTAGTAAATTTCTAATTAAAAATGTCTGCAAAAAAAATTAACAATAAGTCCTGGCCTAAGACAATAACCATTTCTCATTCCCAGTTTTATTCAATATTATTCAAGGAAAGATGAAAATGTAGGAACCTCAAAGATTTTCCTTTGGAGTGGCCAAAACTTTACAAATGCTGACCATCCCTGCAGAAGTTTCTTGAGTGGGTAACACCCTAATTCAGGGTCACAGAGAAGGAATGTGGGGTCAAAAAACCATCTCCACACCTTACCCTGTCTCTCCCAAGCTGGAGCTAGAAGCATTTTAAAGCTGAGAAACTCTGGGCCCAAGAGCCTGAGACTGACTCCACAGTACACAATAGCCCCTCACACTTGACAACAGTACATTCTTGGCATTCCTCTCTCTCTGCCCCCCCCCCCCCCCCCCCCCGGTCAGCTGGAATGTCTGCTGATTTTGACACAGTTAATTTCTACCCAAAGACACAGCGAAAGCAGCTGTGGAAGAGGAATTAGTGCAGTAATTTAAAGGCAAGGGCTTCCTACTTTGCTCAGTTCTGAGGCATTCCAGAGCCTGTAGCAAACACTACCTGGGGTTTCAACAGATACCAAAAGCCTGCTCAAAAGACTGTCAAAAAGTGCTGTGTCACAGAGATGAGGGCAAAGAATGAAACCACCTCATCAGCTTATCTAAACTCCTGTCCCTAAATCCAGGGTGTGGAATTGCCCCTGGACTGAATAAAAATGATGGCTGGGTCAATATTTTAATCATTATATCAGGCTTATGTTCTCTAGGCAAGTTAAATGAGCTAAATACGGATGTTATTCTTCCTTATTTTTATTCTGAAATACTTCCAAAATAATAATTTTAAAGCCTGTTTCTTCACTGGCAGAGTCCCCAGCATGTACTTCCTGCCGTCTTAGGCGGAACACATCGGTTTGCTGAGTGAGTTTGAGCAACTGAAGGAAGAGGAATGAGCAGACAGCTGTGCGGACATCGGGGATGAGTGGGTGTTAGACTATACGGTCCAAGCTCACTCGAGAGGGGGCAGTGGGTCCGACACACCTACTGAGCCGTTCATTCAGATCCCTGCCATTCATATCCTCATGTATGTCCTCTTACTTGCTGGGCACCCTGCAGAGTCCTGTCTTCAAAGAGCTCATTCTCTGGGAGGAAGGAGCAACACAGAGTTCTAAGCATGATAAAGCTCGGCAGGGCGCAGATGGGAGGACACAGTACAACTTCGGAAGTATGAGTAATCTTCAGGCTGTGCTTCGGCGCTGAGCAACACTGAAGCCCACTAGTAGAGTTTGTTCTTAGAGAATCAGCCAGGGGGGAGGCAACAGGCACACTGTGCCAGCAGGTGCATGACATGTCTAGAAGAAGGCAGCGGTCCAAAGTGGTCCTTTGGGACCCAAGATACTGTGCCAGCCTGATGTTGCTCACAGTGGAGACAGAGACATCCTAGATAGGAAGGAGCAGGGACTAAGTGACAAGTATTATTCTTTTAAACGGGTGTGTGTGTAGACAAACACAGGACAAACAAGACACGCGCGAAAGGAGACACAGACAGGCGGCTCCCACGTGGGTGCATTTTAATGGGGGGGGGGAGGGGACACGATAAGGGACAGGTGTGCAGGACACACAAGGGTAATCCAGGAGGAGTCTGGGAGCTGTAGTTTCCAAAAGGAACAACAACAAGGATGAAGTGGGAAGACGAATTTCTAAGGTGAGAGATGAGAAGAGTAAGTGGAATGAACGAGTGAAGGAATTGCTGGGCAGGAGGCTGTGGCAGAGCCTGCGCATGGAGGGAAGAGCTGCAGGCGGTGTCCACAGACCCAGGAGGCACATTAATTAGGCTTTGTGTGCACTTGGGGACAGGCCAGTAATGCTCCAGGTAAATTCCGCACTGTAGGGTCTTGAGTACGGAAAGGAAATGATATAAAATATATCACAGTCCCAGAAATAGCCAAGATATTACCACTGGGGATGTGAGAGTAAAAGGAGCTAAGAGAAATGAGCCCCCTTGGATTTTATTTTGTCCTCATGATTCATAAGAAAATCCTATCAGTAAAATCAATAACAAAAAAAAATGCCTCTTTTGTGTCTTTTTAAATGTCTTGCTGCCAGGAACGGAATGATGGTTTGTAAAACTACAAATGACCATTTCTGTTGTCAAGCACAGCAGAACAGAAGAATTTCAGCCCACATTTGGGCTTAGCACTCTGAAAGAGCATAGCGGTCTCTCTTTAGCCTGGACAAAAGGAATTAGCGGTGAAGACAAGGGAAATAACACCAAATGCCACGAAAATAAGAGGCAACTATGACAAACACAGAGAATTCCTCCCACAAACATCTCAGGGCTGAAGAGAGGAAGATAACATGTCAATAAAAAGCAGATTGCAAACATTAACTCGACCTCTAGAGGTGCTCTGTTCTCGGGAAAGGCTTTTCTCTGAGGACATCCTCTAGCTCTGCACTCTATCCGCCATTGGAAAGTCTGTATAAACTGGCAACAGGGCAACTCCACGGTACGGTTAAAGGAAGGTTTTTATGGAGCAGAGACAGTTTAAAGATCGGAGATTTGGGGATAACTTGTTTGGTGGGAGAAGTTGCTAAGATCTGTGAGCATTCAAAAACCTATGTATCATCCATGGCTATTAACTGAGCGGTACTGAGGCCCTCTGCAGTAGGACATGGAGTCTCTGAGACTGAGGAGGAAGAGATTAGAAAAGGAGGGCAAAGGGTCGGAAGCAGGAACTCATCCAGAGGGAGGATTCGACTAAGCTCCAGAAGGTGCTGAGACCATGTGGGAAGTCAGAGGAGAGACAAGCAGCTCCAGAGGCAGGTGGACTCCAGAATCTGAGTCGACTATGGTGTGCGACAGAAGTCAGCAGAAACAAAGGATCCGTGTCTTAGCAGAGTCAAACCAGCAGTTTGATTTGGTTGGAAGAGGCCCAGCCCCTTGGAAAAGGATCCATTTGTGCTCCTCCCAGATTTCAGCACCAGATGTATAAGCTGACAACATGACCACTTCAGAGTATGGGTAAGCGGAAGGTTTTTTGAGCTATGAGAGACGTAACAGCCAGAGGCATCTGGAAGAGTCCAGAGTGGAGAAAGAATGTAGTAGACTGAGTGGAAGAGTGGAGGGAGGGAACAGAGAGAAGAAGAGAAAGAATGGACCAAAACCAAACCAAACAAACAAAAAGCCTAGTTGAAATAGCAGTGTTGTTAGGAGAATGAGTGGTGGGGGAAGGGAAGCTCCGGAGCTAGAGGGAGTTTAGAGCAGGGAGGGAGGTGAGAAGGGCTAGGATGCTAGGATGCTAGGATGCTAGGATACTAGGATGCTAGCATGGACTCTGAAGTGCACAGCAGGTGCTTGTGATGCTGCCAGAGCCTGGAGGCCTGCATACACTTTGCTATGCAAATAGGTACCACAGATAGACATCTGTCCCTTCTGCCTTTTGGAATTTGGGGTAATGGAATTTCTTTTGGATCTGAGTGTTCCTCACCAGGATCTACTGTAATGTATTCTATAATATGGAGAAAAAAATACAGATTCAAATTAGTAGTATGTATGAACTGTGTGTACATTAAAATCCTACATGGATTCACTGTAAATATAGCTGTCACTAGGACAGGAAATAGAAATGAGACTAAGAATATTATTGGTAGTGAGTATTTCTATATTGTTCAATATCTGCCAATAGCAATCTTCATGTATTATATATATGATTTAAAATGCATTTTCAAAAACAGAAATTTCTGATTTTTACCATCCATGGTAGTGTCCACAGTACATAATGAAGCCCAGTCTCAAGAAAACTAATTTATTAATTGAATTAAGCTGAACAAACAATTCCACTACTTTATCCCTAAAAAAGCCCATAAATTGGCAGTAAACCTAATAGCTGCTGGGGCTCACTGCTTGAAAGAATGAAGCTTAGGGGGGTGGAGGAGGGGGCTTGAGAGATGGCTCAGAGGTTAAGAGCACTGACTGTTCTTCCAGAGGTCTTGAGTTCAATTCCCAGCAACTACATGGTGGCTCACAGCCTTCTTCTGGCATGCAAGCATATATGGAAGGAACATAATGAATAAATCTTAAAAAAAAAAAAAAAGAATGAAGCTTCCAAGACTAAAACATCCATCAGGACATGGGAAAAGGAAAAGGCTGTCCTGTGAGTAACTATTTACTCCAATTGCCTTGTAACTCGGTGAGGACACTTCGAAATCTTCCCACAAGGATTAACGAGCAATTCCTTTGAAGCCACCGAGTGTCTTTTGAATTAAAGTCATGCATGTGTTTGCTTAATAAAATCGTACAATTAAAGAATGACTACAAACAACTGTCAGCAAGCTTGCTGCTAACCCACCAAAGGGGGAAAAAAAAGTAATAGGACATTAAACTCTGCTACTCTAATATCAAATATTTGAATAGAGAGACCCATGAATTTGATAAGGAGTATCTTTAATATTTCTACTTAGTATCATTAACACAATCTCAAACTGACCACTAAAAAACACTTATAATTGCAATATTTGCTATGGGACAACGATCTGTACCCTGTCACTTGTATTTTCAATAAACGCTGATTGGCCAGTAGCCAGGCCAGAAGTATAGGCATGGCAACCAAGCAAAAAGAAGAGGCAGGGCAACGAGAATTCTGGGAAGAGGAAAAAGTTAGTCTGCAGTTGTGACCCAGCCACAGAGGAAGCCAGACACAGAGCAAGCAAGATGTGACTACCTCGCCGAGAAAGGTACCAAGCTAACACCGGCAAGAATTACAGGCTAATATAAATTATAATAGTTAATAAGAAGCCTGAGTTAATAGGCCAACCAGTTTATAATTAATGTAGGCCTCTATGTGTTTATTTGAGACTAAACGGCTGTGAGACCTGGTAGGACAGACTACCCAGCCAACAAATATTAGCAACAACAATGAAATAAATTCTAAAACTGGATTATGCTAAGCCTAAGACTCTCTTCTGTGTTTAAGAAGCAATTTTATTCTCTTGAAACTCCATATTCAAATACTGTCACACTATCCTCGTTAGTTTTAACATCAACTTGACACAGATAAGCATTAGAGATTCTCGACTGAGGGACAGGACAGATCAAACTGGCCTGTGGGCATGTCTGGGGGGAATAGCTATGATGGTTGATTGACTAAGATGTCAGAGTGTGATTCTCTAGGCAGGTGATCTAGGGCTGTATATAAGAAGCCTGGTACGCATACCTCCAAGAGCAAGCCAGGACGCTGTGTTCCTGTGTGGGTTCTGCTTTTTAAGTTTCTTCTTGAGATCCTGCCCTTAACAATAGACTGTGACCAGAAAGAAGTACAACCCTTTCCCCTAAGCTACTTCGGTCAGTGTGTTTTAGCCCAGCCACAGGAAAGAAGCTAGAGCACAAACATTTAACTGACCCTAAAACAAACTTCTCAGGCGTCACTTGTGAATTCTCCTAACTCTAGCTAAGATTTAAATTTGAAGGTATAGAAACAGATCACACAGCATGGATCAACCTGGAACCACTTACACTTGGGACTAAGTACTTCTGCTTCTATGAGGGTTGACCTGGGCACTTTAAAACAGCGAGCTGCATTCCTGGCTTCCACCCCTCCAATGTCACCTGCCTACCCCCCACCCCTACGCCATGGCTATGACATCCAAAACTGTCTATAGACTAACACATGGCTTAGAGCTAAGGGGAAGAGAGAGAGATCACTGTTGGTTGTGAATCATCAATAAGTCACTATGGGAACATCATCAAAAATTTTGCAGTCACAGACAAGTATAAGTCTCATTTACACCACTGGAAAATGTACACATTCTGTGAGCAGGGCAGAAGGTTGGAAAAGTTACTCACTTGTAGTAGAAACACTAAAATCGTGAAGCAGAGGGCTTCCTTAGCATGGTAAGACCCTGAATTTAATCCCTACCCTGGTTTAAAGAACAGATACAGTGGCATACAACTCTAACTTCAGCCCTTGAAAGGTGACACTCAAGGATCAAAAGTTCAAGATCATCCTTGACTATATAGCAAGTTTTTAGCCAGTCTAGGATATGGAGACCTCCCCCAATGTCCCCTACTCGGTTCTCTGCTACCTACTAGGTGAACTTCTTCCACTCCGACTAGTCACTGCTATACTTTGATCGCTGGTTCCTATGCCACCAACCCCAAGCTGAAACTCTATTTTAATCATTATTAAGCGATGTATTCATCAAGGTCTAGCTCACCTGTAAAAGTAGCATTCTTTACAAAACAAAAGAAAAGCATGTGTCTACCAGCATATTAAAAGTATGCCTTTGATAAGCAACTTGTAAATCCCAACTTGAGCATATAATGAATGTGGGACCAGAAAGAATGCCAACTATTCAGAAAGAAGACATTCCAGGCTGACGTGATGATCACTGTGTGCCCTGAAACAAGCTCAAACTCCTCTTGGCCTCTTGACTTACCTCAAAGTCTCTGAGTCTGGGCATGATTTCCTCAAGCAAATGTAAATCTCTGGAAACCTTAGCCTTTACTTTACTCCATCTCCCCTGGACATCATCAAATTTTTGTTTAAACTTTTTTCCCACGTCAGGAAGCACATTTTTCTCCAAAATCTTTGTTTCTTCTGAAAGTTTATGCAATGTAGGTTTGTGATTCTCAAGAACTTCATCAAGGGCCTAAAAAAGTTTCCTAAGATTAGAACTGTACACAAGAATATACCAATGTGCATCTGTACAAACGTAGTGATATGATATATATTGATGCACACACATACACACACACATACACACAACGCAACACACAATGCACACACAGTGAAAAATGGGGAGGACAGGGATGTTACTCAAAAAACAATTAAAAAAAAACCAGTCAATCAGAAAAATCAGGGCTTTCTCTTAATGAGGTCGGTGAGGATGGCATAATTTATATAATTTATTCTGTACACTAAAAAAACACCTGGAACAGAACACACAGTGTGCCAAAAACCGAAGGTCAACCATTGGTCTCTTTTATCAACTACAATGTCATAGAGACTTTACACCACTAAGAAAGAAGCAGGAAAGCAAATTAATCAACAAAAAACTCAGTATCAAATTTAGGCTTGGCATCGTGGCTTATAACAGCCAACCTCAGCACTAGGGAGGCTGAGGCAGGGGGACTGCATTCAGTTAGGCCAGGTAACTATAGAATGAAACCCCGCCTCAAAAAGAAGGAAAAAAAAAAGTCAGTCCAACCTCATTTTAGTTAGGAAAGGTATTTAACAGATGATGAACAGGTTCAGAATATTATGTGACCTATAAGAAAATACATTTCCCCTAGTAATATTTAAGACCATATCGTTTATGGACCTCAGATAAATTGTTTTGGATAATTAAGCTTCAAATTATAAATTCTTAGGCCTGGAGAATGGTTCAATAGATAAAGACACACAAGACTGAGGACCTCAGTTCTCTCCCTGGAACTTTTATTTTTTCAGTATAACAATGATAATATTCTTTTTCTTTTTCTTTTTTTATTTATTTATTAAAGATTTCTGTCTCTTCCCCACCGCCACCTCCCCTTTGCCTCCCCCTCCCCCAATCAAGGCTCCCTCCCTCTTCAGCCCAAAGAGCAATCAGGGTTCTCTGCCCTGTGGATACAAAAGAATATCAGTGTCCACCTGTGTCTTATCAGATCACCACGGATTAAAGTTAGAAGGCAACAACAATGCTACCCCCAGAAAGCCGACAAACTCATGGAAACTGAACAATCAACTACTGAACCACACCTGGGTCAAGGAAGAAATTAAGAAAGAAATTAAAGTCTTCCTTGAATTTAATGAAAATAAAGAGACAACATACTCAAACCTATGGGACACGATGAAAGCAGTGCTAAGAGTTCATAGCACTAAGTCCCTGGAACTTAAGATGAAAGAGAAAACCGAGTCTCCACAGATGTCCTCCAGGCTCAGTAACACCAACCTTCACAATAATATTATTATTAAATAGTAAACAATTTTTTTGGTTTTTTGAGATAGGGTTTCTCTGTAGCCTTGGAGACTATCCTGGAGCTCTCTCTGTTTGCCAGGCTGGCCTCGAATTTACAGAGATCCACCTGTCTCTGCCTCCCTAGTGCTGGGATTAAAGGCGTGCACCACCATCGACAGGGAACAAAAACATTATTTTAAATCTGCCACTTTTATAGTAAAATTTTAATAATTTGAAAAGACTTAATCAAAAATGGCCATTTTTTTAATCACTGAAAAACCACTTCAAAAACCATCAGACAGAGAGTTCTCACATGCGGCATACCTTTTTCTCTTGCAGGGCCTGCTCCAGCGTTGTGAGATCATTAAGGGAGTCCAGAGACGTCTGAGCTTTTTTTTCTGACTCACTTAGCATCTCTTTCAGTGTGTTCAATGTGTCCAAGTACACAGGTCCAGGTTGGCTCTTCAGTTCTGATGAGTTAAACACACTTACTCAGGAAAAACAACGTAGAACCTAATCCTGTTACTGTCTACAGCATTAATCTTTTGTGTATAATAAAAAGATTCCAATAGATAATAAATTAGACCCCACGATTACAATTGAAAAGAATCCCTGTTGGTTAATAAAATAGGTCATCCCTCTGGCATTTCAAACAGACAGGCTGTGGCTTCATTCCTCTGGGGGCCGAGGCTGGAAATATTAACTCGCTATCATTTTTCTTCATTTGATCATGCTGAAATGTCTTGATGAAGCTTGAAGGACAACATTCCTTTTGTCTCCCACAATTCCCCCTTCCCCAACTGCTACACAAAGAATAAAAGGCAGCACAGATCCCTCCACCAGCCTTCCTGAAATCCCATGAATATACACAAACTATATGGGAACCCTACAGACAGGAAGGACCAGGGATGGCTGGCAACAGCCTAGCCATCCACGGCTCTGTCAAGATCCCAAACAATCGACATTTGTGCAGAGGAGGAAGTGAGGTGGATGTGAAGCCCCAAGAGGTGAAACCAATTAGCAGCATGAGTTAAACTGCCTGCCACTGATCCTTGTCCTGAACCGAAAGCCTGGTGTGCCCCAGCCGGCTGAGAAAGGAGTCTTGTCTAGTATTTATGTCACACTGTAAGCTAACTGATTTCCATGAGCGCAATGCATGAAGTCTGAATGCACTATTAACATAAAGGCGCCGTGACACGTTTGTCTAATACATATGCATTCCTAATGTCATTGCACAATGTGCAGGAAATACAGCAGCGGTGGCAGTCACAGCACTGAGCACACACAGCCCAGAACAATCCAATGCAACCGCTGAAGAGAAGAAACACACAACAGGATACACAAGCTTTCAAATCCTTCCCCAACAAAATTTTAATCCAATTTTTCCAATTCCAACTTCTTCGATTTTGCTTAAATTCTGGGAGAGCGAACAGATTTCTTTTTCAAGGAATGGGTGGTGCTGCAGAAAACCCTAACCACTGGGAGCAAACAGAAATTGGTGATGCTTTTGCTTGGTCTGAACAGATCCAAGCAAAGTTGTTTCTTCCCAAAATATCTCCGTAAGGGGAGGAGTGCAAACCAAGCGCCTAGCATGCACGAGGTCCTGGAGGTCACCACGGCGCCACAAAAGGAAAATGAAAATCTTCCAGAAGTCATTACATTCAATTGACACACTTTTCCGGCATGTGATGCTGCCTATTTATAAACAAGTGAGAGCTCAGGAAATAGTCGGATGGACTGAGACCTCGAGCCGCACAGGTGCAGAGGAAGAAAACAGGTGCAGAAACTCAGATACGCGGAAAGTTTAAATATTGGGAGTAATTTTTAGATTATGGCAAAGTGAGAGGGGAGACAGGGACACAGAGTGAGAGAGAGACAGACAGAGAGACGCACAGAGACAGAGAGAAGACGTGACTGCAGCCCAAAGCTGGGGTTTACCGTTCTCGAGTTGCTGCTGGCATTCCTCTAAAGCCTTCTGCACGGCCTGGTGGTGACTCCAAAGGTCATCAAAACCCTGCTGGACAAAACCTGGGACAGAGGGCTGAGACTTCAGGGCTGAACAGCTTGCACACAGTGTCTCAATTCTGGGGTGAAGGCCAAGGAGATCTGTCAGTTCCCTCTAAAGGAGAGAAAATACGGTCACTTCACTCCATGAAGATGAACATCCCCACAGAAAGCTATAGAGAAAATGAACACAGAGCTCATGATACAAGATCCATTCTCTCCTACACTCTGCTCTCTCCTCTGATTGTAAAATCTTTTGCCTTTTACAAGATACAGCTCCTTGGGCTACAGACAGCTCGGTGGGTATGAGCACTTGCTATGCAATCCTACAGACCTGAGTTTGGATCCCCAGCACCTACGTAAAAATGTAGGTATTGCCTTGTGTTACAACCCTTGAGTTAGGGGAGAAGAGGACAGTTGGAGCTTACTAGACAGCAGCATCCAGGTTCATGAGAGACCGCATCTCAGAGGAATAAGGGAGAGTGTGGTAGGGCAGGATACCTAATGTCCTCTGTTGTCTTCTGGCTTTCACAAGCAGAGATGTGCACTCATGTGTGCAAACACACACGTCTTTCACCACACACATTGAATGACATATCCTCTTTACATATGAGACTCAGCATGGAAAGGCTCTATGCCAAAAGCTGTTTGGTCCCCTACCTGGCAGGAATCCTTTAAGCTTGGCAAGGGCTGCTGAGGTGATGCAGAAAAGGGTGTGTCCCTCAGCCACTCTTCCTTTGCTTTGATGGTCTTTTCGAGGGCATCGAGCTGCTTAAAATAAGCATTTATATCGTCCTGGAGTTGGATCTTCCTTCCCAGATCTTCGAGCTGCTGAGATAGCAACTTCCACTCTGATGAAACCCTCTCCAGAACATCGTTTATTTCCTCAGTTGAAAGGCCCTCTACACAAACAGAAAAGGCCAAGTACATCAAGCAGACACTTCATCTAGCAATACCAAGGTTGTTTAGAATCGGTCTACACACTCTAGCGCAGTGAACGATGCGGCAACATACAATGGTCATTCCCTTAGGTCCCTTCTAACGGAACTAAAACTCGCAGTGATCCGCTTATAAATGATTGGATGTCCTTTAATTCCGACCTAAGGGGAGTAGGAAGCAATGAAAGAGCTGCTCAAGAGTGGCGTGACTATCTCACAGAGCAACAGCCAGTTCCTCGCACATAGAATCCGTGTTTCCATCCGTGACACCCTAACACTCTGATAGCCTCTAATCTGATGCGGGCAAATAGACTAAGACGCCCGAATTTGTTCAGAGCTAGAAAACAAAGCAGACAGCTAGCAAAACTCAGAGCTGGCTCAAGTCTATGGTGACAAAAGATGAGAGCCACTGGCACATGCAAGAATACGAAACCAGGACCCACGTTCAAGGAGCATCAACAAGCCGACTGAACATGCTAAACATATAAATAAACATGAAAAATGTCAAAATAATGACAAAGGCAGCTACTCTGGAGAAACATCTCAAAAATGCTATCATTCGTATTACATTACTCTCATAAGTTTTTACATTTATCCACTTATTTTGTGTTGGGTTACCCACATGCCAAGGCATGACCATGGAGGGCAGAGGCCCATCTGCTGGAATTGGTTCTTTCTTTCCACCATGTGGTTTCCAGGAAAGGAAGTCAGTTTACCCACTGAGCTATCCTTTTAGCCACTGAAACTCTTAAATTTTTTTCTCAAATTTTAGAATGGTACACAGTGGTTTTAGAAATGGCTTTTTAAAATTACCTATAACAATAGGTCTTTCCATATCTTTCCTGGTGCTATAAATACCATCAAATCTTTTTAAAATGAGTATGAGAAGATACAGGAAAGCGGCAAGGGGATCTTTCTATTTGGCAGACATCTGTACTGAAAAGACAGATTCAGCATCTTCAGGATGTGAGTAGGAGGGCAGTAAATGAGTCTTCTTTATAAACACATATGATCAAAATCCACAGTAATGAAAACGCAGCTTAAAAGGGAAATGTCATGGGAAACAAGAAGTCACTCCCGTTTCGTGTTTCCCCAACAATGTGGAGAAAGCTGTGTGTCACACTACGTCCCCTAGAAGTCAGAAACACAAACATGCATGCCGTGGATCAAAGTACCACCCACGTTGGCTGCTGAAGTGCACTTCCGCCATCAAGCTGGTAACATAGCAATAAACCTAAGCGAGGCATCCATACCACAGTCCTTCGGCACGCCTCACCATTACAGAGTCATGGACTAGAAAAAACACCATTTTTTTTTTTTTTTGACAACTGTGTGACCGATGGTGTTTTAGCATGGTTACTTCTCTTCTGGTAGATGCAAGCAGAGGAACATCAGCCACTGCTGATTTTGTTTGGGGGGTTTTGTTTTGCTTTGGTTTAGTTTGGCTTGGTTTTTGTTTGTTTATTTGATTGGTTGGTTGGTTGGGGTACTTTGGTATTTTTGGCAGTTGTTTGAGTACTATATACCTATGTGTGTGGGCAGACATGTGTGTGTGTGTGTGTGTGTCCATCAACACTCACAAGCACACATGCTCAGACACACGAAAGCATGTTCACGTGAAGGCTTCTGGAAGGGTCTTTCTTCATCACTCTCTACCTTACATATTGAAAAAGGTGTCTTGAGCTCAGAACTGGTCCATTGGGTTGGTCTAGCTAGCCTGCATGATCTAAGGTCCCCTGTCTCTGCCTCCAGAGTGCTGGGTTGGCTGCTAAACAACAGCATTTGTAGGTGGGTTCAGGGGATCCAAACTCCAGGGCTAACACTTCAGCCTTTGAGCCATCTCCCCCACCCCAGCCACTTTATTTTTATGTCAGGGCAAGTGACATCAAACCAGAAAGAAAAGTAAGCTGGAAAATAACGTTTCTGAGAGGGAAATTAGCACCGTTCCTCTAAAAGCCGATGAGAGACCATCACTGCGGCACTGGGTAGCTGAAGAAATCTCCCCTATGTGATGAGACATGAGACCCTTTTTCAAAATAATTATAGTGACAATAAGGGTTTGGAGGGATGGTAGTTAAAAACACTCAGTGGTCGTGCAGAGGATCCAGGCTCGGCTTCAGCACCCACATGATGGCTCACAACAGACTATAACTCAAGTTCTAGAGAACCCATCTTCCTCTTCTAGTCTCAGTAAGTTCGGGTCACACACATGGAGCAAATACATTCATGCTAGCCAACACTCAGATACATAAAAGAAAAATAAATCATAAAGAAAAATTTAATCCAAAAGCAGTAGTAACAAAACAACTCATGTATACAAGGAAAAGGAAAAAGTTAAAGATTTAAAGCTACTGGTTTAAAGATTTTGTCTAACTAATCTACAACATTGTGTCGTGGTTGTTTAACTTTGACCGAGGCAGAAGCAGACACAAAATCTTACAAAGATAGGCAAAGGGATCTTATAGCTCCCTGGGCAGAAGCTAGACATCATATAACGTGCTATTAAACCCTGCTAAAACTGATAATGAATGTTCGTAAATTCCTACTGTAAGCATTCCTTCTGTTTCTTCTTACTTTTCTGTAAATACAAATGTGAGGGAAGGGGCATCCTAACTCATCAAATGATGCTCCTGGAGTCTCCTTGCTGCCGTCAGCAGGAGGACTGTCAGTAAACTAGATAAGCAGCTGCCCTCACGCCAGCCTCAGCTGCATGGAAAGCCCCACAGGTGCCTAAGGAGATTCCATGATAGTCATGGTTGCAGCAGAACCCCAGCTCCTGAAGGTGTAGCACCAACCCAACCCCAAGAGCTTCAATCTTTGCATTAACATTTTGCTAGTACACCCTTCGGCGAATGCTAAATATAACACTGCAACCATTTCCAAACAGGCCAGAGCCCAGTGGCCCCCAAAGCAATGCTGGAGACAATTATGCAGCAAAGGGGACAATATTACACTTGGTATAAATGAAAAACTTTAAGTTGGGGGTTTGCTGCGATTGGTACAAATACCCTTTCCTCTGGATGCATGAGTGGACTGTTTGGCTCACTGAGTGAGCTAGCTGGTCTTTTTCCCTGGTGTTGCATGCAACATTAGGCCCAAGAAAAGGCTTCTCCGGAGTGTTTTTTTTGTTGTTGTTGTTGTTTTTTGCCAACTTTCAGACAGATGGGTTGAACAAGTGCCAGGAAGACAGAAGCAACAGATACTGTGGAGGTGACACCACTGAGATCAAAGCAGTCAGATCTGAAACAGGGAAGTAGTTGCCAGACTGGTCACCAAATAGCTTTAGAAAAGACAGGGTAGACCACTTGGCTGGTGTGTGCAAAGCCCTTTTCACAACCCCTAGTATGGAGGTGTGGTTAAGGGAAGGAGTTGGGAAAGGGGGAAGGGGAAACTGGGGAAAAGAGGGAAGGATGGAGGGAGAAAACACAGAACTGAGCAGTCCTGGGAAGCTAACCCTCAAAAGAAGCAAGGAACTCATCTGCTTGGCACCTAAAGAAGAGATAGACCAGTGCAATTGGCAGAACAAGTTGCCAAAATGACAGAGAAGCCAGCTGTATACACAGCTGCAAAACAGGCAGGGCCTCTACCGACAGGCACGGAAGGGCGGAGTTAGCCAGGTCCTAAGACTCCTCCACAACACCAACCACAGACAAAGCCACAAGCAGCAACTGAAAGAACAGACAGGACAGGCACAAGAGGAGAGGTGGAAGCAAACCGAAGGCAAGAGAGGGTGGAGAGTTGAGTCTGGAGAGAGATAGAAGGTGGTAGAAAGCCTGGAAAGAAACTGCGAGCTATCGTCCCCAGAACAGATCCAGAAAGCTGCCAAGTCTTTAGAGCCAAGAGTCTCAGCCACTACGGGCACAGAAGCCATAACATTGGCCACTGCCAAAGGCTGAGGAATTCCTAGAACTTGTGCCCACTGACAAGGTACAAAGGCAGCCACTTTCTAGGGCTGAAGAGTCCCCACTTCCTAGCCTACACACACGATAACAACGCTATGCTTGTAGGAGAACCCCACTGTGGGAAGCCCGCACAAGAGCTTTTACACTAGAGGGCACTACCCGCTATTGGTCCTGCCTGCTGAAGTCAGGCACTGCTGTCCCATGTGAAGAGATGCAAGAGCTGCCTGCAGGAGACTAACACGCCCCTTGCTTATCCATGAGTTACACGCACGCGGAGCGAAGATCCCAGGCAGCTGACTGGCAGCGTGAGTATTTTTAGAACAAGGAGCAGGTGCACAGGAAATGTGGCGGTTGGTGCCCTCCCTATAAGGTTCTCAAGAAGGGAGGTTCTGCAGTAAGTCCAGCCAGTCCGACCGGCCCTCGCATATGTGCTAGGGTTGGCATGGACCCACTACAGTAGCTGAACATGTAACCTTCACCGGAGTGAAAATCCC